CCTTGGTGATCTGGTGTCCAATATCTTTTTCCCAGGCTGTTATGTAGGATGGGGGGCGCTGTTGGGGTCGAAGTCCTTCTGATGTGTAAATTTCTTTTATATATATATATATATATATATATATATTGATATATTTTTATACATGGTATATTTTAAAAGATGCATCCGAAAATATTAAATCATTTGAAAAAACTTATACAAAAATATTAAATCAAGGCCTGAGTTGGAAATATTCTTATAATCATTCTTCCTGCTAAGCTGTTTTTAATGAAGTAAGGAAAGGTTAATAATAAGTTGTAGATGTGTTTATCTATGTCATCATGCTGTGAATGCCTCTTAAAGCATTAGAGAAGTATCTGACTGGCTAAGTGCAGCGACTGACTTGCATACCCAGTACGTCCCCAATGCTTCTATGTGAGAAGCACTGGACTAGAGATCATTTTGTCAAAGATCACAGAAGAGGCTGCCCAAAGGAGACTGTCCATAACTGGATAGAAACTGAGTAAAAATGGCTATTAAAAAAAATGTAGATATATTATATAAGGAGGGAACAATATCTAAGCCTTCTTGTAAAGCCTGCATTTTGTAATTTAGAATTTGGTTTTCAATTCATTAAGCAAAATAATAATAATAAATAATAATCTTTAATTTGACCTTGACTTTTACCAAAAGTTAAAGGGACACTCCAGGCACCAAAACAACTTAATCTAAATTAAGATGTTATTGTCCCAGAAGGCCCATGAAGGCACTCTTACCTCAATGAGCTAAACAGTTCTCAAATGTTTTAACCACAAAGTTTTATTTAAAAAAATAAAATAATTTTATTGTAATAAAATAATTTTATTGTACATTTTTTATTACAAAATCTGAAGACAGACAGTAGACTTTTATGCATACAAATAGCATAATAATTTAAATACAAGCCTAATATAAAATGTGTTTTTCTGTTATTATTACATTTAGTTCTTATATTCTATTATATCCACTTAGTTTCTGGTATGCATAAATTAGATATATTGGACATTTACACGCAACATTACGGTTCAGTATTGTGGGTACAGTAAAAGAAAGTAAAGATTATATAAACATATAAATGAATAATTAAAGGGACACTCCAGGCACCCAGACCACTTCTGCCCATTGGAATGGTCTGGGTACCAACTCCCATCATCCTTAACCCTGCAAGTGTAATTATTGCGGCCGACGTAATGCAGAGGAGGAGCAGAGGCGGAGGAAGAAGCAGCGACGTCGGACTTGTCGCTGCCTCTGGTAAGTGACCTGAAGGGGTTTTGACCCCTTCAGCAACCGGGGATTGGGAAGTGGGAGGAAGAAGGGACCTGCAGTGCCAGGAAAACTGATTGTTTTTCTGGCACTGGAGTTTTCCTTTAATAATGAGTTCATCCCCAAAACCAGTATATCTGAGCTTTTTGTTGCTGGGAGTTGGAATATGTTTTTCCACGAGTAGTTGGAAGCATAGTTGGGGATTTATCAAACCCCAATCGAGTTTAAATGTTTTTTTTCCCAGTTTCTTGCTATAATTGACTTTGTTGCTTTCAGTATACGTAGAATTAAAATCAAATTTAAAAAAAAAAATTTTTTTTAATGCGAGGTATAGTAAGATGTAAAAGCATCAGATCTGGTTTTAGCGATATTGTAGGTTTTATAATTTTATTTCATTTTACTCCAACATCCTGCCATAGTTCTTTAAAAATCGGTCACTCCCACCAAATATCTGCCGCCTTTGCCCCGCATCTCCAGCAATCAGGGGACTGAGTAGGAAAGATTTTATTAATCTTTTTGGGGACTAGATGCCATCTTTTTAAAATCTTTAAGTATAGCTCATTTAAATTTAGACAATGAAGATTTGTATTAAGAGTTTGTAATCTTTATTGGAAATTTGTATACCCAGATCCCTGCTCCATTTAGGTAATGCGGACGGATAGATTTTCGTTTTCATTTTATATAGTAAAAAGGTTGATTTTGAAATTAGTGGTGAGAGTGAACTCTAGTCTGCAGCTCAGGCTAGAGTTCACTCTTGTGAGATCCAGAGCGTTGCTCCATGCTCGCGAGAGGAGTACCAGGAAGAGCTGCATACTGAGCTCCTGGGTCCTCTTGTCCTCCCCTGCCAGCTGTCAGCAATGTGCCTGTGGGCTGAAGAGGAGATCTCTGATCTCCCCTCCGGTCCATGAAGGCACATAGCAGGACCATCGCTTGGATAGCACCGATGCTGCAGGGGAGAGCATCGGCTCTCGGGGGAAGGGAGGACAATTGTCCTGCTGCCCCCGTCCTGCATCTGCCAATGGATGTAGGGCAGCCTGGGGGGCAATTGCCTCCCTGCTCCCCCCCCCGTCCCAGCCTGCAGGCTGCAGGACTACTAATGGGAACGGCGTTCCTGATGGGAAAAAAGTGCAGGAATGCTGTTCCAAAGCGTTCCTGCAGGACTCGAGCCCTGATTTCATACAAGGTTTTCAATATGTGGTTGAAAGATAAAAATGTATGATTGTTTGTTAAGATATCCAAAAAATTGAAGGTACAGATTTAAAGGGGCCTAGTCTCTCAGATTCTAGTTTATACCAGCTTTCCTCCCGAGATGATTAATGGAAGGTTCGAATTGCATGTGTTAGTAAGGTTGCCTGAACAAGTCTTGTCAAGGATGGAATACTTAATCCTCCATCTCCTTTTTTTTTGGACAATATTTTGGAACTTATCCTTGGTCTTTTTTTTTTACCATATGAAGTTTGAAAAAGGACTGTAAAAGATTGATCCAACTGAAAGGAATATTGCTAAGTGTTGTCCACTCCCCCCTAGTCAGCACCCAGCTTTAGAATTTTAAGTTTTAGGGAGCACAGAGTGACACTGGGCAAGGGTGCCACTGATTGGCTGAGAGCGGTCATCTGACGCACTTCGCTAATGAGTGACTCCCCATTCACTAAACTGGCTTGGAATGAAACTTTCCAAGACAGTTTAGTTAATGGGGAGTCACTGATTGGCTGAGAGCATCAGCTGAACGATTTATCCCCATGAGATAAGAGTGCTCCCAGGGGCCTCCTGGCACTATAACAACTTAATTCAATTCAATTGTTTTGGTGCCTGGCGTGTCCGTTTAATTTTAGGCTTTTCAAGTACCTCAGGTTGTTTAATTGGAAATATTACATTCAGATCAGAAATAAGTTAAAATTACACATTTATTCGTCAAGCATGCAATACATTGCATTAGCAAATGTTTTTATTATGTTAGTTTCTGTTTTATTTTATGCACTCTGTCCCTGATTTTAGATTTGTCTGCTAAACAATCTATCCCTGAAAGAGATAAAGTCTAAATACAAACAAACTATGAAAAATGTATCTTCACATAAAAAGAGGCTGATATTATACATACTTGTGTGTAACTTGTGTTTTGTACATTAACCCTCTTCGATGTGCCATTTTTTTTCCTGGTAGGAAAGTTCCCCCGCACCCCCTCCCCCCGCTGCAGAAGGGGTCAAAAACCCCTTCTGTCACTTACCTTATTCCGGGACCAATGTCCCTCTGCCCTGGCTAAGGTTATGCCTCTGCTCCTCCTCCTCCGACGCCATCCAGTGGAAATCGAATGCATATGCACGGCGCTTGCCGCGCTCACATTAGGACTTCCACCATAGGAAACCATGTATAATGCTTTACTATGGGGTTTTTGGTGACACTGGATGTCCTCATGCATAGCGTGAGGATGTCCAGTTTTAGTTAGGTGACCAAACAAGAAAATAGAAAGATGGGTGAGTGAACAATAAACATAAATATAAACCAAGTGCAGTAGGGGAAGAACAATATACATAAATATATAAGAGATATCTGATGTCTAGATAAAAATAGTAGTTTATTGATACAAATTAATAAAATAACAGCACAATAATAAGTGCCAAAACATATAATAAGCAGGAACCCAGTTTTAGTTAGGTGACCAAATGTTGCCTAACCACCCGGAAGTTCCTCTAGTGGATGTCTGGTAGAAAGCCACTAAAAGTGCAGTTAACCCACAAACCAATAACTATTGCAATTTCTCAAAAACTGCAATAATTACAATTGCATGGTTAAGGGTCCTGGAACACTTCACCCGGACTACTGTACCCAGACCACCAATGAGCTGAGGTGGTCTGGGTGCCTATAGTGTCCCTTTAACAAAGTAGGAGATAAAAACTTATACGTATTTTTTCTTTTCCAGTGTTATAGTGTATTATAAAATTAATTGGCATTATACCTGTTAAAACATTGTTCTTATCTATTATTAGTAATTGTATCTGTTCTAACTCTCTCTTCATCCATAACACTAGATCAGGGATGGAGCATGTGACATTGCTCTTCCTATAAGAATGCACTAAAATATGCAGTAATTTTCATATAGAATGGGAGGGGTGAGGGGGGCATGGGAGGTGTGGTTATCACAAACGCTTCCTGGTTCTGCTTCATGGATCACAAGCTAGGATGGTCACCTTATCCTATAAAATATATTAATGTTCTAATATAAAGTCTAGAATGTTATATTCAATAGGCAAAAAAGTAAATACTGTTTTAACGCATTATAAAAAAAAATAGCCATTACTTTTGTGTAACAAGTATTATTATATAAATATAAAATGTATGTTAATAACAAAATCAGCTCCTGCACAAAATCGAGTAAATGGGGGTAAATACCCCGAAAACAGACACGTTCACGAGCCGGAAGGCACACAACGAGTCGGGGATACCCGGGGGCATCGAATGAACCCACAAACGAGACCTACACTGCCCAGGAACCTGTACAAAGCATATGGGGCCTACCTGAGACCGAGCCAGGGAGAGACGGCCACTCTCCTGGATGGTAAAGCCAAGTAAAAAACCCTCAAAGCAATCACCTACTCCCCCCCCCCCCGGACCGGCGGGGGTCATCCTGATCCCCACTTGACTCCTATAGCAACCAGCTGAGACAGCAGCACAAGATTAATCCTAAAGCGCAAAGCTGCAGGCCCTCGCAGGGAGTACCTAAAATGGCGGCCGGCAACGCAAACCGCATGGCGAACACGAAACGGACACCAACGCCACGGGATGAACCCCTACAGAGTCTAGAAGCGATACTGAACCGCTTCTGGGACACACTCATGAAGCAGCAACAAGCATCCCGACCCATGATACCTGCACCACCGACAATGGGGGAGCGGAGCCGCGGATGGCGGGGAGTAAAGGGAAAGCCCTTGGGCCTCAACTACCCACCTACATGCAACCTAGCCCACCCGGGCTGCAGGCCAAAGGGCAGAGAGCCCAGAAGCATCGTCCACATGGGCGGAGGAATAAGCATTGCAAGCGAAAGAAAACGACCTGCTCCTCCGCCACTCCCACACATGGAGGAAACCCGGGCCCTCGCGGTAGCTGAGTTTGTGGCCAGAAGATGCAGGCCTGCATGCCAGCCTGGGGCTGGAAGGACATCCTCATTGACACCCACACAGCACCGGACACACACAGCTTCTACAAAGAAGACATCGGGTAAACGACTCTGATGGGGCTTAGTTAACTCACTGCAATGGGACACTGTCATAATGCTTGCCCCTCCATAATAGAGAGACCGCAAGATTTACTGGGCGGCTGGACACACCTGTGGACACTGAGCGTAAAGTTATGCCGGGGAGGCAGTTGGCTGACCTGTGGCCGCAGGGGGAACTGTTTTGGCGACCGCATGGGAAGCTGTGCTGTCTCTGCTCCCCCGCCCTCGCGCGCTACTGAATGAGACCGGGGTCTCATTAAGCTGCGCACTGGGGAGCAGAGACAGAAGAGCCAGCTCCCCCTGCAGCCGCCATCAGAGCTCTCCTTGCGCCTGCCAGCACACCAATCTGTCTGCCCACAGGTAGCAACAACAATTATGTGTGTCAGTGGGAGTGTATGTGTATGTGTCTGTCATTGTGTGTGTGTGTGTCTGTCTGTCTGTGTCATGGTGTGTGTCTGTCTGTCATGGTGTGTGTCTGTCTGTCATGGTGTGTGTGTGTCTGTGTCATGGTATGTGTCTGTCTGTTATGGCGTGTGTGTGTCATGGTGTGTGTCTGTCTGTCATGATGTGTGTCTGTCATGCTGTGTGTGTGTCTGTGTCATGGTGTTTGTCTGTCTGTCATGGTGTGTGTATGTGTCATGGTAAGTGTCTGTCTGTCATGGTGTGTGTGTGTGTGTCTGTGACATGGTGTGTGTCTGTCTGTCATGGTGTGTGTGTGTCTGTGTCATGGTGTGTGTCTGTCTGTCATGGTGTGTGTCTGTGTCATGGTGTGTCTGTCTGTCATGGTGTGTGTGTGTGTGTGTGTGTCTGTCTGTCATGGTGTGTGTGCATGGTGTGTGTCTGTCTGTGTCATGGTGTGTGTGTGTGTCTGTCTGTCATGGTGTGTTTGTGTGTGTCTGTGTCATGGTGTGTGTCTGTCTGTCATGGTGTGTGTGTGTGTCTGTGTCATGGTGTGTGTGTGTCTGTGTCACGGTGTGTCTGTCTGTGTTATGTAATGTGTGTCTGTCTGTGTCACGGTGTGTCTGTGTCATGTATGTGTCTGTGTCATGGTGTGTGTGTCTGTGTCATGGTGTGTGTCTGTCTGTGTCATGGTCTTTGTGTGTCTGTCATGGTGTGTGTGTCTGTCATGGTGTGTGTGTCTGTCTGTCATGGCGTGTGTGTGTCTGTCTGTCATGGTGTGTGTGTGTCTGTCTGTGTCATGTAATGTGTGTCTGTCTGTGTCATGGTGTGTCTGTATCATGGTGTGTGTCTGTCTGTTTCATGGTGTGTGTGTGTCTGTCATGGCATGTGTGTGTCAAGGTGTGTGTATGTCTGTCATGGTATGTGTGTGTCATTGTGTGTGTGTGTCTGTCATGGTATGTGTGTGTCATGGTGTGTGTGTGTCTCTGTCATGGTATGTGTGTGTGTGTCTGTCGTGGTGTATGTGTGTGTCTGTGTGTGTTTTTAAAAATAGTGTTTTTACTCACTTTTTTTTTTTCCAACGTCGTGCTGGTTTCCCATCGACTGGCCCTGCCACTATGGCTGAGATCATCAAGCTCTCAGCCAATTCGCACTGACACAGGAAGCACCTCTAGTGACCGTCCTGAGTGTCTGTCACTAGAGGTGTCACTAGGAAGCAATGTAAACAATGCCTTTTCTCTGAAAAGTCAGTGTTTACATTGAAAAGCCTGCAGGGACAGGCTATAGACACCAGAACCACTACATTAAGCTGTATGTGTGAGCCTCCTAGTGAGTGAGCTTGCTTGCATGTGTGTGTGTGGGCCTGCTAGTGAGTGAGCTTGTGTTTTTATGTCAATGAGCTTAGGTATATCAGTGAGATTGTTTGTCTATGAGGCTGTGTATCAATGAGCTTTTGTGTGTCAGTGAGATTGTCTGTGTCTGCATGTGAGTATACTTACTGTATAATTAAACATTTTACTCTGAAAGGACCAATATTTTATATTAGAAAAAGCAATATATATTTGAGATATATATATTACTCAATCATCTGGGGTGGCAAGACATAGCCTTACATATTACATGCGACAATATATGGGGCAATGACTTATGGGGCTGGCATAGATTTTTTTCCAGGGCTGCTTTGTACCCTCAGTCCGGCCGTGGTCCCAGACCCACCTGCCAAACCTCCAGAGCCGGCATCGACTGACTGAGGTGGAGTGGACCGACCCAGAGACTGACTGTGCCCCTACAGGCCCAAATGTAGAGACTATGCCAGACTACATAGCACAGTCTATACCAAAAGGCTGTCATTATTCACTCCTGTAACTCACTGCACAGAATATCTATAACATTAGGTGCAACCACTATATACTAATAAGCGACTCTACCCTAGCAGGTTACAGTGAACAAACGAACTGTTTGACATTGCATAGGTACAGGTGCACTAGCTAAATGGGGTCGCTAGCGTTTTTACTGCATTATAGGTATTATCTATGTTGCTGCTGATCTAGTTAACGCATAAACCAAGCTTGTTTGCAGGATATACTCACATTTAAATTGATGTATCAACGTTACATTAATTAAGCTTGATAACTAAGACATATATTACAGTCCACCTGTTTTCACAACTCAATGTTCTAAGCTTGTTTATATAATATAAAATGAGGCTGATAATTCTAGGAGTTTTTGTAATTTGTTTTATATGATCCTAATCTGTATAACCCCTGCAAGTCTCCCTCTCTTTATTCTGTACCACCATAACCACATGCCTCAATAAAAGAAAGATTGACAAAAACAAAATAACAAATTCGCCATGTTTTGACCAAACCCCATTTATTCCTGTTTCACTGCTGACACTAGCCAAAGTACCTGCTCTTATTTATCCAAACATACACCATACCCTTGATGTATTTCTCTTTCCCCATTTCTCCTCTACTGCCATGTTTTTCTTCCCTGAGTTTTTGGAAAGTAATTTTGTCTTTTATTAATATTATTATTTTATTATTATTAGGACTCCTCACGTTTGTGAACTGTGCATATGTGAAGTGGGGTACTCGTGTCCAGGATCTCTTCACGTATGCCAAAGTGCTGGCTCTAATTGCTGTCATCATTGCAGGAATTGTGAAGATATGTCAAGGTGAGATATGGCGTTGTAGACATCGTTTTTGGCTTGAGCAACAAGTGTAGGGTCTCCAACAGGCCTCAGTCCCAGATTAAGAATTAATACTAATACAGCCAAACCATCTCCAATGTTGCCTACATTATATTAACCTCTTCAGGACCAGAATTTGCAACTCTTTTGTTTTGCATGACAGTCTTGGGATATTTCTAACACTGGTGGGGGTGATAGACAGTAAGGCATATTGCTAGGGGTGAGGGTTATGAGACATCCAAACGCTATGTTTCCACAAGACTGGTATGAAATATTCACATAGAGAGTGGTTAATACTCTGCCTTGCTCCTTGAGAAAAGATGGTATTAGCTGCTCAATTTTAGCTGTTATCTTTGTTTGTCTCATCAAAGTGGAAGCCAGGGGCACAGTGGCCTTGCGTAATCTACCACCTCCGTTGCTATATGCACTAGGAGTAAGTTGAATGAGTTCTAATCAGATATCAGCAAAAATTCAAAAATCATATCGCATTCAGTATTGTATTGCATTATTATTAATAAGTTAATATATGTAGATATATGACATACCAATTTATGCACTGTATTAATTTATGGTGGGTGAAAGTTTTTTGACATTGAGAACAGAGAATAGAAAATGGAAAGCCAACAAGCAGAAGAAAGAAAAACATATTGAGAGAAAGGCAACATAATTGATTGAGATATGTATGAAGCCTGTTTTATCTTGTGTGGTCCTTAAGGACTAGTGTATTATTGTGATTTTTGATACAGGTGTGTTCACCTTTAATTTAATTAGCTCTCATGTAGTGAGTTTTATAGCTCACACATTCCCAAAGTAGATATGGACTATCTTTTAGAGAAGTAAGTGATAACACGAGGTTTATCTCGAAGAGTTACTGTGATATGCAATTAAATATGTTTAGGATTATTCAATAAACCAGGAGTTGTTGTGAATTCACCAATGAGAATTGCCAATTTAAGTTCAGAATAGACGAGCTAGAAATAAAAAAAAAGTTTAGTTTTTTTTTTTATCAGTTTGACTATTGTGACCTAAAATGTTCCCAACATCACATTCCATAAACTTTGAATGCTTTATATTTCTAGGTTCATGTGTTATCAATTCCTTTTTCATGATCTAATTTGCTTTATTGCCCTCTCTCCTTCCCCACCTCCCACAGGTCACACACAGAATTTTGAAGACTCCTTTGCAGGTTCCTCTCCGGATGTTGGCAACATTGCGCTTGCTCTGTACTCGGCTCTCTTTTCATACTCAGGATGGGACACCCTCAATTTTGTCACAGAAGAGATAAAAAATCCAGAGAGGTAATAACTGGTAGTGTAAGCAGTTTACATGGATACTGGAAATAAAGCTGAACACAGTTGGAGGATAGGGAGGGAGATTTTAAAAACGTTTGAAAGATTTTATGGAAGTGGACTAAAGAGCAAGTAAAAGTTAGGAAAAAACATTTCAGAGGGCGAGGAGATGACTCATCGAGAGTAAATGGAGATAAAAACAGAAGCTGGGCAGACCTCTCAAGGTCAGGCTAAGAGGTAGATTAGATACAGAGCAAAATGCAGCTAGTGGATAAAAATAGCATTTAATGGAAAATATGCATATAGAGGCTAGGATAGGAATTTATAAGGAAAGAGATTGAGCGAATACGACTATTCTCTATTTGTGGTAGATCATGTCCTTCCATCTGTTTTAGGAATCTGCCTCTGGCCATCGGGATATCCATGCCCATTGTGACCGTGATATACATTCTGACCAACGTGGCTTATTATACGGTGCTGGATATGCGGGCCATTCTGGGTAGTGATGCTGTTGCCGTGGTAAGACACCTGTAAGCAAACACATTGTCTGGTTTGCTTTCTGATTATGTCTGGGAAATGTAGGAGCTAAAAAGGTATTTTAGTAGCTGACATACATTACTTTAGGAAAAAATGTGTACATCAATGGACATCTATTACTTAAGTACTTTGGGATAGGGCTATCACAACCCCAATCCATGATGTAAGTAGGCACTGAATAAATGAAGATTAGAGATCACTGCATAGAACCAAGAGCAAGAGATAGGATTGGGAGAATGAATGAATGAAAATGCATGGAAAAATAGAAATAGGATATTAATACTGTAACAGAAACACAATGGCCTCAATTTAATTTATTTCAAACCACATCAGAAATGTTACCATTTAGTTAGAATTTTTAAAAAAAAATATATATATTTATCTACAAAGTCACCATTAAATACTATGGGAATTTGTGTAGATAGATCATTTGAAAAAGTATTTTATTTTTTTGTAACAGATTGTAATAACGTCTTATGCCGATTCAAATAAATTAAACTGAGTCCAATGTTTGTATCATTTACTAAGTCTGCTCTTAATATCCCTTTTTTCCCAGACATTTGCTGATCAAATTTTTGGAATATTTAACTGGACAATTCCGCTTGCTGTCGCTCTCTCTTGTTTTGGAGGCCTAAATGCATCGATCCTCGCTGCATCCAGGTAAAAAAAAATCATCAGCAACTCTCCTGAGAGACAGCAATTGCTAAATGCCTATCTGAGGTTAATGATATTGTGGGCAACTGCCTGGGGGCAGTTATAATATCGAAAAGTGCCAAATGGACATGCTTGGATGGAGTGTTATGTACTTTGCCACTAGATTACCTTGTTTCAATTTACCGACTATTTTATCCTTTTAAAATGAACATACCTTTTTTATATTTAATCCTATAGCATTTTTTTGTTCCATTTGTTCTTCATTACCTTCATTATAGACAGGTGGTAAAATAATATTACATCTTCACACTCACAGTGAAAGAGAGTATTTATGTTGCAGTTATGAAGCAACATAGTCAGTTATCACTTCATAACCATAATTAAGGGGTCCTGATCAGAAAGACATTCAAGGAGGAACAGATTGCATTATGATTGGGTCCCTCCTTCTAACATGGGTTTCCAAATATCAATAAATGAATTGGAATGGTTTATTGACCATCTCAGGAAAGGGAGATGAAGTGCCATTTGGAAAAAAAATATTTAACCTTGTTTGTATTTTTATTTTGTGTACCTTCCACCTCCTCATTGTGGAAGATAACCAGCAAACAGGAATGTAAGTAAGAAACATAGCTCAGATTTGATACCATTGGCAATAAAATCATTTCTGCTTGCAGCTGCTAAAATAAGCAATACTGCTCTCTATCTCTTTCAGTGACTAACCTGGTCGCTATCTAAAAAATGCCTTACAATGCACATTCTTAGGTTAGGGAGATAAGGTCAAACCTACTTCAGGAATAAACAGTGTTCCACATGGGATTCACCTATGAATAGTGCCAGAGACAATGCATTAAATCTGCCTCTACTTGATTACATTTTAAGCAAGTACTGTCTGTGGCCAATCATAAATCACAGTGAAACAGCGCCTATGAAATATTTCCCCCCAATTTTATCCCAATAGGAAGCAGAGGGTATGCACCTGTCTAGGATTTTTGTGACTGCAGTAGGGGTGAGATCAGAAAACAGAGAAAGTCCAAGCCACCATGCCCCAACAATGATTATCCAAATTAATTATTGTTTGATTCACAGTGTAGTTGCCGTAGTGTTGAAAGATATGTTATAGTGAAGAGTTAAGAGTCTATTCATAAAGTAAGAGGGGCTGCGGGAGGCAAAGTACTTTTTTAAGTAGTACACCAGTGGCATGGAATAGTGGGGTGAATCATATGATGGTGAATCATTGTTTACAAGCCTGTGCCTGTGAATGGTTGTGAAATATCTTGGTCAACAAACGTATGTATTCCAGTGAGGCCCATCGTACTAAGGATACAAAATGTACACTGGTGTGGCTGGCTTGCAGGCCTCTTACTTCCCCTGCCACTTTATGCATCTATTTATCCCCCAACCCCTTTGTGTCTCTTTTTTCCCTTCCCCTTTGTGTGTCTCTTTCTCCCTGGAATTATGTGTCTGTTTCCCACCCCCTTCCCCAGCCGATCTGTGTATCTCTTTGTCCACCCAGCCCTTCATTGTGTCAATGTGTCCCCCCTCAGTCCCTCTATATGTCTATTTGAGCCCCCTATACCATCTGTGTGTGTATGCATGCCTGTTCCCCCCAGCACTCCTGTGTGTCTGTTTGTCCCCAAAGCTCTTCTGTGTGTCTCTTTGAGTCTCCCAGCCCCTCCCTCTGTGTGTCGTTTTGTGCCATTCCATTTGTCTCATTCCCCCAGTCCCTCCATGTATCTAATTCACTTCCCAGCCTATTCATGTGTCTCATTAACAAATTCATGTCTTATTCACACCCCCCAGCCCCTTAATGTTCCTCATCCCCCCAGGTGTCCCATTCATCCCCCTCCACAGCCTCTCCATTTCCCCCCTAGCCCCTCCATGAGTCCCACCCCACAAGCCTCTCCATGTGTCCCAATTCCCCCTTCAATGTGTCCATTCCCCCTTTCAAGCCTCTCCATGTGTTCCTATCCAACCCCTCCCCAGCCTGTCCATGTGTATCATCCCCCTCCCCTCCAATCATACATCCTTTCTATTAGTTCCATGTGTCCTGTTCCAACCTCGGCCTCTCCATGTGCCTTTTCTCCCTTCCCTGCCTTCCACTTGGTATGCCACTGAATGGGGCTAGAATGTATTAATACTCTGTGCTATAGCTGTCTGGGCATGATATTAACTTGGCTTTCATATTTTTTTGTGAGCTGTGCGTATGATTATATGATTTCTCATTACCTGCTTAGTGACTCTACAAAAAAGATTACCATCCTCCTGCCTTCTTATTAAAAATGTAGTTATTATTTGATAAAATATTTTCTAATATTTATAGAAGCTATATTGACCAGTTTCATTACTTTGGCAAAGCTAAATGTGTATTTGGCGCTACATTGATTTTCTTCATTGAGATTGATAAAGACATAATATTAGATATAATTAAGCCATAGGAGTGCACAGTCATTCCCCCTATAAATATAATATCATAATATAATGTTCTAAGTGAATAGCATCCATTCTGTATCATTCAGAGCAGGATTGACCATAAGATGAAATTAGTTGGCCGTGTAGTGCCCAGGGGTTTGACATGGTCCCTGAACCAAAGCATGACATCATCATACATTTAAATGTATAAAAATGAAATGTACTATGGCATGCTAAATTATGCCACAGTTTTTTTGGGGGGTGATTAAACAGCTCTGCAGAATTTGTTAGTGCTTTATAAATGATAAAACCAAGGAGTAAATGTTTCTATTTATTCCAGGCTGTTCTTTGTTGGCTCTCGGGAGGGCCACCTTCCTGATGCACTAAGTATGATCCACGTGGAAAGATTTACTCCAATTCCTGCACTGTTGTTTAATGTGAGTATGTGAAATGGAACTTTCTGCTAGATTGATTTACATATTTATCACTAATATCACTTCAGTTTATTGATCATTTAAATTTACTGATGCATTACCTTGACATTTAAAATATGTTACTCATTGATTCATTCTGAGTTATAGCACAATAAGGTAAAATAAAAGAAGCATTTTAATAACATTGTCATGAATGATGAGCATCTGCTAAGCCCTTTAACATAATAATGGAACCCTTATATTTTCTGACTTGAATCTTTGAATCACAGGTTGACTGTGCCATCACACCAATATTATTTGAAGACATCACAAAGTAATAAGATTAGAAAATAATAGCACCTGGTATTTGTCTCATCCTTAGGGAGCCATGGCTTTGGTATATCTGTGTGTTGAAGACATCTTCCAGCTCATTAATTATTACAGCTTCAGTTACTGGCTATTTGTGGGCTTGTCTATTGCTGGGCAGTTATATTTAAGGTGGAAGGAGCCAGACAGACCAAGACCTCTCAAAGTAAGTACTCAACTGAATATTACAATGAACACACAGTTCCAACTTTATATCACCTGAACATTCTCTATCTATATAATATTACATGTTGATACCAATGATCTTGCGATCTTTGTACAAACAATACTGTGTTTTTTCTATATCGCTCCAGTGTACCCAACTTTTTTAAACATATACATTATGTGAAATGTTATCTGATCTGTTGTCTGTGCTCTTTTCTAAGCTTTTGTTTTTGAGACGTCTTTACATGTCCACTTAAGAACCAGGTTTTATTTCCTCACTGGCCATACATAACCTGCAGTCCCCGTGTCGCCATAACCACACTTACAAATGCAAACTTAGGTAAAATGTAAAGACAAACGTCTGTAGGTGTTTCATGCTTAGCCAAGCAAAATGTCTTTGAAGAAGTGCACGAAATCCTCTGAATGTGAAGGATACATACTCTGCTGAATGTTTTGCATGAAAGTTGATTTTTTTCTTTTTAAAAAACTAAAATCTTATAAATACTGGGGATGTAAAAATTGACTTTGTATTTCTGTTTAATGTTAAGTGTATGAGTAGCATCCTCAGTATTCATGTTATCTCATAAGAACATTGATCTTCTCAGGATTTCCATCTGCCTTTTTCCTGTGATACTCCATTAATTAACTCAAAGTCCACAACTCCATATAATTTATATTTTATCCTCTTCTTGTCGCTGCCTCTACATTTTCAAGGTTCCTCCATTCAATCATTCTACCTTTGGACCTTGGTTCTTCCTTGTTTGCCGAACACTTATTTCTACTAGGTCCAATTTTGGTATCTGTATCACAGTTTTTTTTTGTTTTGTTTTTTTCATTACAGCTCAGCCTGGTATTTCCAGTTGTATTCTGTCTATGCACTGTGTTTCTGGTAGCAGTGCCCCTGTACAGTGATTTAATAAATTCATTAATTGGAGTGGCCATTGCTCTTTCTGGAGTTCCAGTCTATTTTTTTATCGTACGTGTTCCAGAGAAGAAAAAACCAAACTGGTTACGGCAAATGGCAGGTATGTCTATGTTACGTTCATGTTATGTAGTAGATGGGTGTGTGTATATACTGTAATACTGTAAGCATCAGAACAGGTACAGTATGTGACACATAGTGTAGTCTACAGTAGATGTAGGCTGTTGGTTAGGTGTAGTTGGTGCCATGCAATCCAATTGGTTTGCTTTGCTCAGTTTCTGCACTTTCTCTTTCAGCTTCGGTGACATACTATACTCAGGTCATGTGCTTCTCTGTCATTACTGAGATGGATATAGAAAAAGAAGAAAAACAGTTGTCTAAATCTGACTGACACACTTCCTCCTCTGTGTAACTGATGGACATTCTGAAGCTTCATGCAGCACATAATTTATTTCCAAAACTATGCAAGCAACCAGTAGACCTTTCATTGCAGAGTAGCTGCCAGCTGTGCTCTTGGTGGAGATGTGTTCAAAATAATTTATCTTCAACAGGGACATAATTAATTATTGTGAGACCTTTCTTTCCCCTTCAGACAAGATGCCAATTATGTTATCTTTAGGACATTCCGTAAGTATTTGCAGATTAATACATTGTTGGCTCCATACATTTTATTTTTGAAGTGACACTCATCTGGATCTTCATTTTCTGCACCAGATTGCCTTATTTCTTCATGTATCAGAAAACCATGAGCAGGCACGAATGGTCATTTTGTGAACAAGGACATAGAGATAAAGGCAACGATGGCTGATGCATACAACATTGTTTTATAAACAATAAATATTGATGCCACATGTTCCTTCTCTGTTGTTTAAAAGTCCAGTCTAATTTATATATGCTTTCCCTACTCAGTCCTTTCAGGATAATAAACGGAGCGCTCACTAAGGCTGTGCATTTCTTTGATCTGTGTGGCGACAAGAAATCATTTTTTTCTGTAATTAGTCAAATATCTACCTCAAAGATTTGCTGTTTTTCATACAACTTTGTCTCTGTCATTTCATTCCACCTTCCTATGGTTTTTGCTTACCTGTTAAAACTCTTCATTCAGTGGGCAGTGTTCAGTTCCAAATATTTAAGAACTTTTATTCAAATATCAGAGTAAACACGGTCTAGAGCACAAATGATATAACAATAATAGTCTTTAATGCAAAGTGTATATATAAAATTAAATTACAGTGTACTGGCTAAATGCCATAAGATTAGTCTGGAGAGGTAACTTCTCAAGTATTCACATTTTGAGCGGTAATGTAATTTACAGATACTCAGTCCAACTCAAAGGATAAATTCAGCCATTGCTTTTGCAGCTTTTGGCAGAGGCAACTTCAGCTCAATACTAGTTCACCCAAGCCAAGCTGATTAATAGCTTGAATCAGAGGCGTAACTAGAAACCACGGGGTCCTGGTGAGAAAATTGTCCCTGGCCCCCCCCCCACCTCTCACCCCCCCAGCATCCCAATGTGTTTCATTCATGCCCCACAGGGTTAGTGTAGCATGGTTGGGGGAGTTGAGTATGACAGAATTGGAGCAGTTAATGAGATAGGGTGAGTGTGGCAAGTTGAAAGGGGGTGAGTGTGGCAGGGTGAAAGGGGGCGAGTATGACAGAATGATGGAGAAAGAGTGTGACAGGATTGGTGGGGTGAGTGAAATGGGGTGAATATGGCAGAGCGCTGGGAGGTGAGAATGGCATAGGTGAGTAACAGGATTGGTGGAGTTATTGTGAGTGTGGCAGGGTGGTGACAGTGTGTGTGGTAGGGTGACAGTTACATAGACACACCCGTGCATACAATGACACACATGCAGATAAACAAAAACACACACATACATGCAGATACACACCATATAACATACAAATACAAAGACACATACACGTACGCAAATGCAGACACACAAAGTAACACAAACATACATATATACACGCAGACACATGCAGATACACAAACGTACTTAAGGACAAACATTCAAATACACAGAATGACACTCATGCAGATACAAAACAGTGACACACATACAGATACACAGGGCACACACTGACGTATAGATATGCAGACATACAGATACACATGCAGACAAACAGATACACATACACACAAACTAATCACCCTCCTGTTTCCTACCTTTAAGATGCAGGAGGGTGACGTCCCTGAGGTCCAGTGGTGGCTCAGGCTGATGGGAGTGAGACACAAAAAAAGGGGGACAATCTGCTAAACCAAATAACAAAAACCGTACATAGCGTAATACTGTATATATAAGTAAACCAAATGTAAGATTCACAAGTGGCCACTCACACTCTTGTTGAAATTAGAAAGCCTTTAAAATAGTTTTCTTTTTCAGCATATATGCCGTGTTAAATTCAATTCTTCCATCTCTATTGGTATCTCTTGGAATAGTTGAAAGGTGTGTGCTCAAGAGAGAAATATAACAAAATTGTAGTGCACATTCAAAAATAGAATAAAAAAATATTTAATAACTTACATCAAGGTATAAAACAATTCTCACTGTCACCACTAGGGGTCCTACGCGTTTCGTCCGTATATGGGACTTCCTCAGGGACTTCAGAGACCAGCAGTGACCAAGAAACAAATCAATAACCCACTCTGACTCCCTCCTCTCCTTCCTCCGCGCAGACTTTGTGTAAGCTGGGAGGAGTGACAAGGGCAGTCACTTCCTCCCAGCTCAGTCTGACATCATCATGGTGGTGCTGCCAGGCCGGGTTGCTGCCTAATCGGTCCGGTAGCACACACCAATACGGACAGCCGTGCAGCTGTCCGATACCACAGGAGGACTGAGGGAGGGGGCAAAGCTGACTACCGTGCTCCCTTGCGGTTCCCACAATTCCCAGCATAGCCACATCATAGAGTAGTGATATGTATATATATATATATATATATATATATATATACATATATATATATATGTGTGTATATTAATGTATATATTAGTCAAATATAATGATGCTTATAATATTTAGACATATATTAATATACATTTTGTAACAGAGTGTTGGGGATGGCCCCACTAGTGTTTTTTTTTCCTCTGTTGTTATTTAGGTTCCTGGGGTGGAGTATTCGGAAGAGCAGGGTGGGCCGATTCTCCACCCACTGTCAGAGTGGTTGTGCATAAGTCCAGCCCAGGTTTTCTAAGGAGTTCTGGCTCACTGCCTAACGAGATCATTAACAACCTGTAGGGGCTGTGAGCAGCTATATAACTGCAGTTAAAGCAAGGTGAAGGGAGCGAAGTGTTTTGTGGAGAAAGAAGGTGTTTTGTGGAGAAAGAAGGTTTGCTGTTTATTGTATCCTGTTACTTCATAACAACAGAAAATAAACAGGCCAGAGGCCTTTTTGAAACTGGACTTTGTCTTGACCTGGTTTTCTTACCCTAGAGGGCTGTGCGGTTGCCAAAAGATCCTGGACAAACACACACAGGAAAGTAAGTTTGTCACATATGGTGGAGAATGCGAGCACCGCACTGAAGAAGCCTGTGTGTATTAACTGGAAGCCAAACAAGCCTGGTGAAATATGGAGGAAGTTATGAAAGTTTTGTTGCAAACTACAGCGGCACAGCAAAAGGCTACAGCCGTACAGCAGGAGGCCACAGCCACACAACAGGAAACTATTACAGCCCTACAGCAACTGGTAATTACGCAAAAGGCTAACACAGATGCTATGATCCAGCAGGTTATGGCAGCCCAAGCTGGGTCAAACCGCCTGCTCAGGCAGGAGCAACATCAGGCCACCAGTATGATACAAAAGGAGATACAGGCTTTGACCAAGGGACTGACCAGAATCTCGGATGGGACGCAGTCCGAGGTTAAAATGATCAGAGCCAGCTGTTACCTGCAGAAGATGAATCCTACAGATGATGTGGAAGCATACCTGCTAGCTTTTGAGAGGACAGCTGAGAGAGAAGGGTGGCCGGTGAGTGAGTGGGCAAGCATACTGGCACCTTTTCTTATTGGAGAACCCCAGAAGGCTTTCTATGACCTGGAACCAGCACAGGCAGGGGTCTACTCCAAACTGAATCCTTGCACGACTTGGTGTGACTATGGCAGTTTGTGCCCAAAGATTTCATGCCTGGACTTTCAACCAAGAGAAACCTATCTGCTCCCAGATGTTTGACCTGATACATCTTGCTAGAAAGTGGTTACAACCAGAAATAAATACGGCAAGCCACATCATGGAACTTCTTGTGATGGACAGATTCCTGCGGGGCTTGCCTGCTTCACTGCGGCGATGGGTCAGTCAGAGTGATCCACAAACAGCTGATGAATTAATTGGTTTGGTGGAAAGATATGTTGCTGCAGATGACAGACAGTGGCTTAACAACACAAAGTCTATGCAGAGAGTTAAGACTCCAGCTGCTGAAAGACCTGGTAAGATTTTTCAAGGTTTCAGAGACACAGAGGAACAAGAGACATATTATCAGAGACCCCATACGCTTTTGCCTAGAAATGTTAATCTTGGAAAAGGGTCTAGGTGGGGGACAGTTGATAATATTAAATGTTTCCGGTGTAATGAACCTGGACATAAAGCTAGAGACTGTCCCTTGATTAATGAACCTATGCAATGCAATATGATTAATCAGGATGTACAATTGTCTTGTTTGCTGAATTATATGGAATCTGCTGTTGCCAACTGTAGTCACAATCCACAGATATGTTCCATAAGGGTGAATGGGAAAGAGGTTAGAGCTCTATTAGACTCCGGAAGTATGGCGACATTGATAACAAAATGCCTTGTACCTGAAGCCGATGTTGATGCATTTCAGAAAAGTGGTATAATTTGTGTTCATGGTGACAAACGTGAATATCCTACAGTTTTGCTAAAATTTAGCACTGTTAATCATAGAGTGGGGGTAGTGGATAAATTGGCTTATGATGTGGTGTTGGGAAGGGATTTCCCCCAATTTTTAGACTTGTGGGGGGTCTCCAGGAAAGGTAGCTCATGATTGTATAGCAAATGGTGATGATTCTGGAAATGTGTTGCCTTTTTCTGACATAGAATGGGAAGGACTAGACATAAGACCAGAGAAGGCTGAAGCCTCAAGTCACAGGCCAGCTTTAGTAGGAGATGACCCGGGCCACGATAGTCAGGATCCCATAACGATCAGGATCAAGGCATTAACTTCCCTGAATTAGAAGTCAGTCCTGTTAACTTCAGGAAAGCGCAATGGGTAGACCCCACTCTTGCAGAGGCCCGTAAAAATATCCAGGTTTCAACTGATGATTCAGTACAACTAGATAGAGCCCCTTCTTCTCCTTACTTTGAGGTACAGAATGATTTGATATATAGAGTAGAGAAAAAGGGTATAGATTTTGTAAAGCAACTACTTGTTCCTA